AAACTTCGAACCTTTCTTGAACTCAAGCCAAAGTCCGGTTCGAGTTCGGTTCGAATTTCGAACCGAACTCGAACTCGAGCAAAAGTCCGGTTCGGTTCGGTTCATAGGAACACTAATCCAAAGTTAGCATATAAAAAATTATAAAATATTAAATAATCAAACTGTATTTAGAATTTTGCAAACTCAGATTCTTTTAATTCATTTAATCAAGATGAACATTCTTTGTATTCAGAAAAAATTTAAGTATTCAAAAGTTACCTAATTTTTCTTGGGATCACTAGTGCTAATTAGGATTAGTAAGAGTTTTCAGATGTCTGTTTCTATATATTGATTTGAATTCAATGAATTTTTTGATGTTTTTCATTGATATTACAGATAAAATAAAAGTTTTTGAATAGAAATAATCTTTAAAAATTGATTTTAACAATGTCGACAACAATCAAATAAAATTTTTAATTAGTCAGTCATTTTTGTTATTAACCAAAACATTGTAAAATTGCTCGCAGACTTTGTGATTAGTACTTTTAATGTAAATTTATTTAAGAATATTAAGATTCATGGTCAATATTTTTATTGGCTATTATCACATGAAACTGTTTTATTATGATTATTTGTTGATAAAAATTATTTAACCAATCATTACTTATTACGTGAATTTTTTTAAATGTTTTAGATTCGGATCAAATTCAAAATCACATGATACTATTCAGCTTTAATGGATCTCTAATTAGTAAATTCACACAAATGTCATATGATTCGATTCTTTTTTTGTCACTACTAGAGTACTAACATACAGTTCTGGCAGAAAATAATGACAGAATGCGTTTTTTCACGTTTTTTGTAGATATTTCAGGGATTTATCCAAAAGTCATGAAAATTTGTATGAATATTTTTTAGAATGCTAGGAACAAGATTTACTAAGATCATAAAGCATGTTAAAATAGTAATATTTTGTGTTATTTGGTGTTAAAGTTGGCGAACTGGGGCTACCTTGGGGGTACTCCACATTAAGTAATTAAAAATATTATTTTCAATAAGCAAGCATAAAAATATTTTTGTGAAAATATATTTGAAGATATAAGAAATTTATTTGCAAATTTTAAAACATTGAATAAATGGCAATAAAAAAAAGGCTTAATTTTGATGATTTTCTTAAAAAATCATAGTAAAAATTATAATTTACTATGATTTATTAAGAAAATCATCAAAATTAAGCCTTTTTTTATTGTCATTTATTCAATGAGTATGAACTAAAAATTTTTTAAAATTTGCAAATATATTTTTATATTTTTTCACAAAAATATTTTCATGCTTGATTATTGAAAATAATGTTTTTAATTTACTTAATTGGGGGATACCCCCAAGGTAGCCCCCAGTTCGCCAACATTGACACCAAATAACGCAAAATATTACTATTTTAACATGCTTTATGAGCTTAGTAAATCTTGTTCCTAGCATTCTAAAAAATATTCATACAAATTTTCATGACTTTTGGATAAATTCTCCCCGAAATATCTACAAAAAACGTGAAAAAACACGTCCCGTCATCACTTTTCGCCGGAACTGTATAACCTTGATCTTCACTCTAACCCTGACTCTTATCCTAAAATCAATCTTTAATATTACAGTAGAATTTTCCGGGATCGACAAAACCTGGCACAAAAAAACAAAACAAGGGGGAGTAGTTTCATTAATTATCAAAATTATTAGAAATTTTGTTATATAAGGTGTTAGCTTTAAAGACTAGGCTATATCTAAAAGAGCATTTTTACTTAGCTAGTTATAGTGAAATTTTGAGTTATTCGTTTTTGAATTTTGTATGTTACACTTGATCTTTGCAATTGGATTGGTCTATTACACGTGATTACTCCGCTTTAACGCATCCCCCTAAATGGAAGTTACAAGTAATTGCGAGCATATTTTTCCGTTTTAATTAATTCATGCTTAACCCTTATCTACTATGATTAGTTGCCTTTAACTGTTCCGCAAACTTCTTCAATTCAGCAGAGAGTATTTGTCTGAATTCCTTAGTTATTTCGTCTTTCATTTCATCTAGCGTCTGAACGTTATTCTTTTTGGACTGCTCGACAACCTTGCTAGTGAATGCCTTGTAAATAATGTACGGATGATCACTGGACTCGAGCCATAAACCCTTTGGACTATAAATATGTAAATTAACGAATCAAGATTAGGTTTAATTTGTTATTATTGGCATAAAACATATGGGATGGAGTCAATAGAAAAGGGGCAATTCTATTAGAGTAATTTATCCCTTTTCTACTGACTCCACCCCATATGACTGTGTGGTTTGACAGCTTGATACAGGCATAAGCGCATTAAAACAGAAGCTATTTGTGCATACATGAGGTAGGTGTAGTCTATCATAAACTCTGCCACTTGCATGACCCACGCGGCGCGTGCATTTTTATACGTTTCTTCATAGGCGCTGTTCATGAGTGCGACTGTAAGAATGTCAGTAGCTGTTAAAGGCAAAAGAAAATTATTAGCTACGTACTCAGAATATTAAAGATTACGATTGTTGTGCTGAATGTGAAAGCAATCCTGAGGATATCCAGCAAGTGATTGTTTGTCCATGGAATCAGAGAACTGTAGTCACTCTGAAGTATTAACCAGGTATTTTTAAGTGATTGATCAAAGCTCGTAAATGTATTGGTTCCGTTATCAGGTGGAGTTTTCGATAAAAGAACCATTAACGAATGGGAGAAGGCGAATAGTATAAAGGTTAAAAACAAAAGTAGCCATCCGGTCTTCAAAATGATCCTGTCGATGACTTCGTATGGGAAAAACGATTAGCAGCTTTGCCGATCCTTTAGTTAGAGCAGAATTATGAAAATTCTTACCTGCCATGAAAATGCCGATACTTTCAATGACACGAAGCTGTAAAGCGATAAAGATCCAGATGAATAAGACAGAGAGAGATTGGAGCTCTGGAGATGCAAGGTTATTACTAAACTCCCGAGACACAATAACAACAGGAAGGACTGATGATGCAAATCCAACAAAGATCTCCCATCCCTTGAAAAAGTAGATACGAAGTGGTATTTTTTTTTTAAATAACATAAAATATCCCTTAGCTTGTCCGATCCAAAAAAATATCATCAATGATCCAAAGAACATGCTTGCAATCATCAATTTCTTGTTTCTGGTGGTGGTACTAATTATCGCAACAAAAAGGCAAATATGGATAGCATAGTAAGAAAATATCGTTACATAGAATACGAAGAATGCACGCCGCAGCCGCATAACAATGGCATCGAAAACCGGAGATTGAAAAGTCTCAGTGGAATGAAGATAGACTAGTTCCTCAAAGGGACCGTTAAATAGGCCGGGCAGCGGTATATAACAATCCGTGTATGATGCTTTGTTACTCGTTGAAACAAAAAATTTTTCATAACTAAGAAAAGAAAATCAAATTAATTGTTAATTCAGGATCTGCAGGAAGCATAGTTACAGTCAGGGCTCGATTTAGCGACTATGCGATTTAATGAAATCACCAGTTAACGACTATTGTTCCCAGGTCATTATATTGGAATCGCGTTCAATTTAGCGATTTCTATTAGTATTCTCTCGATTTTGAAATTTGATTACTGATTAATCGGTAAATTGAGCTCTGACTGTAATGGAAAAGTTGGATTGAAGATTGACCGACCTTGTGTCGAAAATAGAAACGCGAAACTTAAATTTCGGTGGAACCTTGATGTAAGCGCATTTTTCCAAAAATTCGGATAATATGTATGGATACTGAACGGCAAGCTGCGGAAGCACCTTAACAACTATGAGCATAGAATATGGTTTATAATCGTTCAAGCAAACATCAATTATTTTCTGTACTAAAGAGGTTTCATGCTTTTCAATTGCTTTTCTCAATCTTTCAATTATTTCCTTTTGTGAAGGGTCCTCCTTTTTTGAAGGGTCGTCATGCTCGTTATGCTCTTCAATCGCTTTTGTTAATTTTTCAATTATTTCATCTTCATTTTTTTCATCTTCATGCTCTTTAATCGATATCGCTGTTCCAGCCGGTAACGTATCTTCATTTGTAGCTTCTATGCTCATATTGATGATCTAAGCTTAGAGAACTTTTTTCATGAAGAAAAGTGAGATCCCAAGAAAATTTACCATTCAGAGCTGTAGAATGTTTATATAGTTCTCGATGAAGCATTTCAAAGATGTACGTGACACATTTGTACATCATGTGTGTATAATTGACACAGAACACATACGTATGTACAAGAAGTCATTTACAGAATACGTACGTAGAAAGAAAAGCATTTATAGATCACATATAGAAAAGAAGAGTCATACGTACATTTATATCGATTTTTATTCGGTCAACGGTTATATTGAAATTGCAAGAAAATTTATCTTCCCTTCTATTATACTGTAACTACAATGTTTTATAACTTTTAACATAATTGTTGATAAAAGACCTAATGCAACAATGTTGGAATAGCAATACAAGATGACGATTAATATTTAATGTTTTAATTTATACTACATGTACCTATTTGCTTTATCATGTTCGGCATTTTTATGATTAAAGAGGACAAGGTAAACTCTAAAAGCTTTCTTTTTGTTCTTTTATTATATTTTTAGGGTTTTTGTTTGTGGTTGTGCATTTGTTCGTTTTATATATCCATTGATTTTTTAGTAATAACGATAAAAAAATTTTAATTGAAGTTGTTGCTTTGGTTCATTGATCAATTGTTGGAGGAGATGCACAAAAAAGCTGTAAAATTGTGTGCTGTGTTCGTTAGAGGGATAATCAATTCCTGTATAGATATCGATATAGAATTACGACTAGAATTATACATGTAATTTATCGTTACTGGCTGAATTTTATTATTCTAATGTATATATGTAGTTGTACATGTATGTTCTATCATTATCTATCTATATAATACGTATTATACATGTACAGAGGGACAACTAAAATTAGGCCAGTTAAAAATTTAAAATAATGAATAAATATGATACTATGAAATGTCTATTTTTATTAATACAATGATCTTGCATGTAATAATCAAACATGTTCACCATATTAAATTCTACAATATAGTGAAATTTTGGAACACTTAAAACACAAATGATTATTTTAGAAGCTTTGAAATATCATTTTCCAAAACTTTCATTCGTGAACTTTGAATGAGAGATCAGCCACAATTTTAATGGTAACACTATAAATGCTAACGCTAATAATTGAAAATGTTCATCAGGTACTATTTTTGAGCATTAATC